TCTAGAAGGGTGCAAGGAGGAGATAGTGCAATAGATGCCGGGCAAGTCGCCATTCTGCGCCCACCAACCTGTAGGCACACGGTGAACGTCGTCTGTGAGGACCGAGCTGTCAACACTTGTGTATATAAAAAATGGCGCGCAGGGTATAAAATCAGATAAGTTTTCCTGTATGTTAAACTTACACCATAAATGTGAATAAGACTTACTAGACGGTAGGGATTCGATATGATTGTAGGAGAGGTCCAGTTTAGTCAACCGGGTGAGCTGGCCGATGGTGTCTGGGATACTTTGCCGAATGAAGTTGCGATTAAGTATGAGGACTGTCAGCCGCTGAAAAAAAATGAAGCATTACATAATCCAGGGGGTGTGATAAAGTTAGCAGAGGCGAGACAAAGGTTGGGATCGAATTATCGATCAGAAAAATCAGAAAAAATGAGACAGTGCAAGAAACTCCAGGGCAACAAGAAGCATGATTTGGAAATTCTTGATCCAGGGAAATTATTAAAGCGAATGCTATGAACGTTGAGCATGGTACTAAGACAGAAAAACACGAACCCCCGTAGAACAAAAAGGAGGCAGGAAAAGATACACAAACGATACTCGATATGCAAATTATAAGCAAGGCGACAGTTGGAGCCACCAATGTCACAAACGACAACAAGATCGTCGCCAACGACGAGGTATACCCCTGCTTTGTAGGGTTAGCGCAACAATGACTTTCACCGACTTTATTTAACTCTCGGGACACAGGATGGCCTAAGATATCCTCCGATGTGGCCGCAACGTGTGCGAACAATCACATTTGAAATTCTGAAATATTTTTTGCAATAGTGACTATCGTGCAGACTAATCCCAAGTTATTTTAGTCAACTCAGGTTGCCGGCTTTTGAACGAACATACCTCTGACCGCCCACAAAAGCGTTATTCTGTACAAAATGGCTACTTAAGTAGCATGAATTTTTCTCAATGATTTTCCTGGTCTTACTAAATTAAAAAATATTTTTATAGAAAAAGTTGAAAAAAATACTCTTCCTTATACTCGTTTGGTAGCAAGTAACACCTCCTTTAAATTGCATACCCAAAGAAAGACTATATTTCTAAATTGCCGAATAATTTTGAATATTACCAGCCGTTACACGTCAATTCAAGGTCTCCAAACTGCACGCTGTATATATTCTGTTTAGGAGAAGTAAATATTTACTCATAAATTTTGCAATGGATTAAGAACAAACCTTATAATTCATAAGCAGCATTACTAAATCGACAGATAAGGTGCTTCATGAATGCATATATCTTTGTATGTCGCAATGGCTCCTGCTGAATTTTCGCGATTTTCAGATGAACGGACAGGCTAGAATGTAGAATTACGATAGCAACCTAAAATAAATGCTATAGAGACAGAATGCCTTTATTTTGGAGTGGACTCCCTAAACTACATGACAAAATTCCCACGAATAATGCAGCTTAAAGTATTTTTAGACTGAACAATTAGCGTGGGAAGTTCCTTCGAAGGCGCATGTGTGCGTAGTCAATTGACAGTGGAATGTATAAACAAACAAAACAAAATCCCTTTTCAGTAGACAGCCAAATCAGTTTTCGGGACTAAAATAGAACGTGTTCACGGGTGGAAAGAGACAGAGAGGGAGAGTGCACTTTAGCAACCTGCAACGACAGAAAGACAACTGCCCATGCCACCGATTTACTTGTAGCCTGCCTTTTAGCAGGAGTCTAGGGGTTTTTAAGTGGGCACACCGGTCCCCTGCAAAACCGGCAGTCATTGGCTATTTAAAACCCAATCGGGGCGTTCGATCGGAACAAAGCTTTATAAAGTAAATTGACAGACTTAAATGGTTATATCGC